TCCTCGGACATAAATGATACTTTTGCTTGCCCATTTTCCACATTTTCTCATGCATGCAAAGACCGTTTTAAAGAGGCCCGTCTGCCAGTGAGACTGGACCCACCGTGCCTCCCTCCTCCCATCGAAAGGTCCTGGATACATAATGCCTGAGCTGACCCCGGGCCCCCGGGTGACTCGCGGGCCCGGGGTCAGGTGACCAGCAGGTGACCCCCTCTTGGGCGAAATTCTGGGTACGTGTCCGACATGCATCGTACATAGTCCTGTTGCTTTGATTCATTGGTTAAACATTAAATATAAGTTATAAGCTGGATCTCTATTCTCTAGTCTGTGATCCCGCATCGTATCAGATATAATGACATTTCATGTCGATGTGCCTAAAAAAATATGCGAATATACGTAAAAAAGGAGTGCTGCTCCCGCTCCTACACATCCGGGCCAAACAGTGACCGGCCCCTGCTTCTAGCCACCCGGGGCCGGTCGGCCGGCCGGCAGTCAGTCGCTGCCCTGGGCTGATTTCTGAGGGACTTGTAAAATGTTTATTAATGAAATGTTTTACGTAATAAATTAGATGATTAGGTATATGTGTTACAGGAAGTTTGAGAAATCCGTGAGTTTGCAAACTCCCTAGTGAGTTTGCAAACTCCCTGACCCATCAGTGACTTTGCAAACTCACTAGGGAGTTTGCAAACTCACTGACCGGTCAGGGAGTTTGAGAAATTCCAGAGCGATTGGGCCAAATAAAATCAAATGTGTAAGATGAGGGTGGCATACGTGCCGTCCGTGATGTTAAAACAAAAGCGAATAGTGGTACGGCCTATATAACCGTCGCACGCTGACAAAAAGCTTACAGATCCTTCATTGTTTTACCGAAAAAAGCTACTCGCAGCTATGTATGGGGAGGTTCGGAGCAACGTGCTCCTCCGTTCCGCCGTTTCCATCCTCAGGAATCAGGATACTGAAATCCTTCTCGTCCACGCCGAAACCCACTCCGGGCTGGACAGGTGCACCTTTATCTCATGCGGGCTGCTCCCTTGGAGCGGCACCGCTGCTCCCGAGGGAGCGCACCCCGTAGCCGGGTGCAAAGAGTGCTTGGGGGGCTGGTTGGTCTGTCAATTCGGACGGGCTCAGCCCCGGCGACTCTGCATATAGGGTGTCTGCCCAGACCAATGTCTCCCCCTATAATTCCTATCATTCGTCTGACTCTGAAATGGTCTTGTCAGACCGAAAGGGCCTAACCCAACAAAACAAAAACAAACAAGCAGCGTGCGCCAGTCGCAGCTAGGCTGGCTGCCAGCAGCGCCGGCTCTCGATGACACGTCTATGGCGGAATGGGAATGGGCGTGAATTGATGCGTGTGCCTGTACTTTAGCCTAAGTGACCAACAGTCAGCTGTTTCTACTTTGATATATTTAGCCTGACTCTGGAATAGCCACACTTGAGTGGAACGGGTCTAATTGGGACGTAAACTAAATAAATGTATAACTAAATAAAGCGGCAGTACATGCATGGGTAAATCACTGAACATTTTAAAATAAAAAAGGTATTTATGGTGTGCATATGATCTATAAGCTTTTTGTCAGCGTGCGAGGCCTTACAGCTAGCCTCCTTTGTTTTAACATCACGGACGGCAGTGGCACGTATGCCACCAACATGCTGCACACTTGTTTTTATTTGGCCCAATCACTCTGAAATTTCTCAAACTCCCTGACCGGTCAGTGAGTTTGCAAACTCCCTAGTGAATTTGTAAACTCCCTAGTGAGTTTGCAAACTCACTGATGGGTCAGGGAGTTTGCAAACTCACTAGGGAGTTTGCAAACTCACGGATTTCTCAAACTCCCTGTAACATATGTACCGGCTCTGAGCATTTGATAAAAAAACATGCTAGCGTAAAAATATATATATTTTGAAAATTAAGCTAGTACCGAAATAATTGTTTTACCATGCATTGACAAACCAATTGCTCAAGCTTCAAACCAACCTAAATATAGCCCCGTGAGCCATATTTTTTTGGGGGGGGCCCTTCGGCATGGGGGGCCCAGTTCGAAGGTCGTGCCCCCCCCCCCCTCATTCAAAAATCCTGTGTGCGCGCCTGATGACAGGTCAGTATGTATGAAAACGTATCACAGGTTTTATTTCTATGACGTAAGGTCAACAATCACGGTTTGACGAAATCGTGTAACGTTGTGAAAGGTCACCAACACTTGTTTATCAATAGCGAGATAATGTAAGGTTCGACAAGCCCGGCGTTGCTGACAGCCATCTGCTGTTGGAGCATATAGCTCCGCAACTCTCTTATAAATGCTAGCGGGCCTAGGCCACGAATAGTTTGGGGCAGTTCGTTAAAAGCGGTCACTGGCCACTGCTGAATAAATTGTCTCCTTCCGGATTCCGACCTAATGGAAGGGACATTCAGCTGTTCGTTCTGCCGCGTGTTCCGCTGATGGACATGACGACGAAGCGTGAGGCTGGCGGACAGCGTATCAGGCTGCGAGGTGGGCAGTATGCGTTTTAAAAGTGTCATTGCATTTCACCACCGAACAGCGTGCAGCTGTGGCCGTGCATCACGCCTTTCATTTGGAGAGCACTGTCTCCTGTGAAGGCGAAACAGTGATAGTTGACACCGGCGCTGCGCTGAGTCGACCTTCACCGAGTGAAGCCTGGCCTTCTCTGGTTCACCAGTGCCCAGCGCTCACTTTCAACGGCACCTTTAGTTTCCCGGCCGGGAAACGGGCCGGCCGATTCACTTTCAGTCAGGTCACCTCCTTCACTACTTTCTATCAGCGACCGTGTCAGTATAGACATCAGGGCGGCGAGGAAAGTGAATCGGCCTTCACGAGGCCACCGCTGTCACCAGCCAGCGGGCGAGTCCATTTTTGCAGAGGAGAGCCAGGAGAAAGTACTGCTCCGGCCGCGGAACACGACACAGGTGTCGTGCGTCCTCCCCCGTGCTGAACGGCAGTGGACTGACCCGCAGACAGTTTGAGTGAAAGCAGTTGTGTGGGACTTGGGCTTAGCGCTCAGCTAGGCAATAGGTGTACTTACTACCTAGTACCTAGTATACTTACTACTAACTACCTGCCCACACGTCTGGCGATTAGCATTACCCTTCGCCAGCCGAGAGGGGTGCCCTCCCCCTCATAGGCTTGTTTTGCAATTGCTCGGAATACGCCAGAGCTAGAAAGACGAAACTTCGCATACCTGACCGTTGATTCAAGCCGGATCTTTTGACACCAGCCGGGCAGCCGCATTTTCAAGTCAGGTCAGATTACTAGCCTATGACGTCATAAGTAAACCTCTGCACGGTCCAAAAATGTTGCAACTTTGCAACGCCCTCAGTGCCAGAAGACCTATTACAGAGAGATGAAACTTACAGAACCTGGTATACTCAAGAAGTCGCACAACTATAGGTATCTCGGATTTTCCCTCAGTGTCACCTGAGGTCAGGTCGGTCACGTGACCTCTGACCTTATCATTATAAATAAGTCATGCATACAGTAGGTCGTGACGCATTAAAAGAAAATATATCTTCTGACTATGAAAAGTAACTCCACATATACCATTCAGCTAAGTCAAAGAAGCAGAGCTCCAGCCACATTTTATTCCAAAAGTACATACATGGTAACACCATGCAGCACTACACGTAATGGCAACTTATCATTACCCACATATAGGAACGACCGACTGGCTGATGAGTGAATAGAGGGCAAACGTCCAGCTCTGAAAGAGATCGCGGTAGCCGTCTACATATAAGAAACTACTTTGGACTACTTATAAACAGAGATAAAATTTACAACATCGCGTTAAAGGAACACCCCTTTACACCACCAGTAAGACCCATAAAGGGAATGTGCATACATATAAATAGGACATTTCTGGCACGAGACGTTCTTAAATACGCGTAGCAAACAACTAGAATAAGATAAAAATGATGCAAGATATAATAAAAATGTTTCAAGGCTTTATCTATCCGGAGCAGAATACAAAAAGCTGAAACACCAGCGTAAAAGAGAACCCATTATTTGAATTGAGAAATCACCACTTAATGGACTACTATTTCGTACCTGTGTGTAACAGCAATGATCGTTCTTTTGGATAGACTGAGCCAAAGTATATTACGTATTACGTAACTACCATATGTAGAGACAAATTCACTAAACGGTATCATAAACGAAATTAAATGTGGGGAAATCTATCAGCTTCTGTTATTAGAAGAGGCAAGAGCACACCCGTAGATTTAAATTCAAAATTAGAATAACTACAAAAATATGGAAAGTTGCGATGAACCTAACGACAAGATAACCTTGAACCGCAATGCCTGTTATCTTGTGTTTGTTTGAAGCTTTTTATACTTCAAAATAGGCAAGTTCGAGAGGGGTAATGATGTGCTAGCGTTACGTACAAACATGTCCATTCGGTATCCATTCGGTGACAGAGCAATTTGGTTGAATGAGTGTCGAAATATAAGTGATTTTTAATATAAAACTATATAGGTCAGGTTATTCTAGATCCAAAATGGAATCAAATTAACTGCAATGGCATGAAATGGTTACAGTACATGCAATAATAGTAGAGTACTTTAACGGTGCTATAACGTCTATGCATACTTCCTTGTCTATGAGTAAACGAACAGTACATGGAACATTTCTGCACGCACGATCAAACTTTCGGCCTTTAGCTACCGCCTATAGCAATTTGGTGATCACGCACACAGCCAAACGTTACATGGAAATTCAACAAACGTAAAACAACGTTCATGTAACAACTAAAGTGTAATATCCTCTAGAACTGTGCATTACAGCATTATCCAGTATTTGTAGGCTCGTGACATCAAATAAGTTTCATAGTTTGATTTCAGCAATGTCGCCGTGGAAAGTGGAAGACGTGTTTTACAGTTTCTGAGCTTATATATTGTGGCGTTTAATGAGTTAGAACAACAATTCGTAAAAAAAACTTATGCTTTGTCTTGGAAAGTACTTTGTTACTGTTACGCCCATTTCTCAAACAGAATGAATGAACTGAAGTTGATGTTGAATCTCATTAAAAGTTTTGATATACTTACACCAGTTACAACATGAAAAGTTGTGTTTCAACGCTCAGAAGAGAAATAATGCACCATACGTTACTCTTGTTTAACAGCCTTTACTCTTATATTTCTTTCCCTGTGCTATAACATATCATAACATGAGATGGCTTAGTTTGAGAAGTTGTCTTTGTGTCATGTTTTATGAGACGGTGAGATATTTCAAAGGTTGAAAATATAATTGGTCATCCTGGTGAAACTGCTTATAATAACTTATATAATATATAATACTGCTTACAATATAAACTACTTGTATGTTACTCCTTATTATAGCTACATGAAATAACCATATTTCCATGAAATTCATCGGACACAAGGAACGCACATTCTTATGGACTTTACTCTCTGGCCGGTTGATGACCACACAAGAAGAGCAGAAGTATACAGACAGAGTAGAGATGAGAGCGGCCTGCCGACTCTGTAAGAACTGGTGAAATATCTGGCACATTTACACTCACGCATACGTTCCTCTCACCTAGCAAAGCGCCTGCACTCACCCACTGCAACAAATGCGGAGAATAAAATTCCCCTGCCAATCATCACTAGCAACCTACAATTCATTGACTATACGTGTGACATCCTGCTGCCAGTTGTACTTCGAGCGCAGAAGAGGTCACGTTAGAGATCTGAGAGTGAATAGAGCACACACGCGGTCGCACACACCTGCGATGCCTCCTTTGTGCGCTTATGAGGACTTCATCGCCCATCATTTTGGCATTCTATTTGTGCATCCATCTTCGATTGTAATGAATCAAGTACGTTGACTTTAACGACAAATAGCAGTCAAAGCCATTAGACGAACCGTAGTTTGGAAAGCGTCAAAAATAAGCAGCTCACCTCATTAAGAAAAAAAGAACATGTCTCCTTTCTTTTGTCTAACGCTATTCCGCGGAAACGCATAAAAATCCATTCCTTATACAGAGATGACGTCCCGGAGGGCCCCTCCAACTGCTAGTGGGGAGACAGCGACTGGTTCTTTAGGTCCAGACATCGCATTTCTCTAGTGGGTTCATTGGTGATCCGACCGGGCATTTGAAGGTCTCGGCGAACTGGCGTGAATTCTGCAGGACGCCGCTCACCCGGTACCGACCCGGGCTGTGCGGGTCGACAGCGTACTTCTCCCAGCCCTCGCGACTCACCACCTCGCACCAGATCTGAAACGGCGCGTAAAGGTCATACTACGAAAGACAGGTCAGGTTACGGTACTTAAAGGTCAGGTCATTCCCTCCCCCACAGTTTAGACCACAGAACCTAGATGTCAATTAATTAACAGATCACACCATAATACCCGATGTCAGGCCACAATGCTCAATGCCAGATTATGCCAATGTTGCAGTGTTGAAAAGATTCTGATAGTGCTGCCCGTGTGATTTTCTAATCGACACAAGACATCTTTTCACCCCGCAGCGGGACGCGTTTAGTGGCACCATTTCTAGATATATGACTAATTCGTGCCGTCTTTACCTCACCTGCCCGTAGAATACGAAGAAGAGTTTCTCGTCGGTCATGTTCAGGCCGGGCAGGCTGGGTTCCATTGGATGGCCCTGTCGATACATCCGCCACGCGTTGAAGGCCTGCTTCAGACCGGATCCGTCACACATATTTTCACCCACCGTCTTGTTACCGTCCACCTGAAAGGTCAGGTCAGAGGTGAGGTCACGGAAGGTCAGTCTTTGTTGCCCGCTGGGTTACGAGAGCACGTGGAGTGGCCACTGGCCAATATACGGGCATGCTGAGGTAACGTCTTGTGATAAGGGTACACTCGTGGGCAGATTGATGTTCTACAACTCTTTATCCACCGGGTTCCTATGGCTCAGCATTGGCAGCAGCCGCCTGGTACCGGTAGACTGTGCCGCTTCACTTACTTGTCAAGCGGCACAGCCTACCCACACCGTATGCCACCGGTCTGGGTCGGTGGCTGGAAGGCGATGTGGGCCGCCTGTGACGTCAGCGCAGCGGTGAGGGCCGAGCCCGGAGGCATGGCTCGGGTCGGCGCGGCACGGCGGCTGGCGAGGGCTGGGGAGGGCGGCAGGGTGGGAGCATGGACCATCGCGCGGCTTGGCGAGCGTAGTTAACTTTCGCGTCTCAAGGCTCCAATTATTCTACCTAACAATTGCGCTAAAGCATTTGTTAAAATATCCTATGCTCAAGACAGCGCCTATCATCATACTTGCCATGTGCATTGCGACACACTTTAACGTAGCATTGGGACAGCTGATAGAATTTATATCACACGTGCATCGAGTTGCGGAGCTGCATTGTTTATAACATAAGTATTAACCCTCGCCCGTAAACGGCGATCTGCCACCTTCGCCCATGCAGGGGGGTTGGTGCGACCCCCCCCCCCTTGGCGTTTGAAAACGGAGCGTCGTAGAGCTTAGCGGAAAAGACCATCGGATTGCTCTCGCCGAGATCTCGCGATTGGTGGTATATTTTTTGGTCCTAGGTCAACATTTGACCTACTTTTGACCGGTCAAAGGTCAAATTTTCGGAAAAATAGACTTTTTCAACTTTCCGCGGCGATTGCGGCAAAACGGTTGGAGATATCGACTTGAAACCTTCACTATCGTGTTCCTTGATCAATTCTCTATCGTTTGGTATGTATTTCGTTTCCCTAGCTCTAAAAATGGCGCGTTGGGAGCGCCGGAAGTCGGCAAGGTCACAGTCGGCGGCAGAAATTCGAAAAATCAAAATTTAAATTTTTGAAATCTGATTGTATTTTTGGATTTGGGAGGTCCATTTGCTCCCTATAGAAGCTAATATTGCTGCATATTCCCATTGAGGTGACAAGAATTAGCAAAATAGTGGTTCGGGCGCTTTTCAAAAATAGTACCGGACGCTGTTCCTCTTGTGACGTCATAGCTCCGTGACCTGACCTGACCCGGTCAAGTTTCTTATACCATATGATAGCCAATACTTGCCCCAATATGCATGGGAAGTTTCATCACGATCCATCAACCGATGTCCGTACCACCGGCAGGAAGCCTCGGGCGTTGGCACTCAGTTTGTGAAAATCCGGCCGGAGGCTGTTCGCTTTGTGACGTCATAACTCCGTGACCTGACATGACCCGGTCAAATTTTTTTTATCAAAAGATGCGCAAGGTTTGCCCCATAAGGTATCCAAAATTTGGCGGCGCTGCGCGCCGCCGTTTTTACACTATTTCCGAAAAACCTCAGGGGGGGGGTTGCACCAACCCCCCCCCCCCTACATGGGCGAGGGTTAAGGCCTTGATTGAGCTCATTGGTGTCTACTATTTTGCACAGCAATCGTCCAGAGACGTGGGAACTGCAGTTTTTGGATAGCGCGGCTGCCAACGCCCGAACTTTAAGCGAATCTCACTGTTCCTCTAATGTGTGATCGCAGCCACCAATAGCAAACCGGTCTAACTAGGAGCAAATAATTCGCGCACCTGGGACGGTTCAAACCGGGCTTTTCCAACCGGTCACCCTACGACTCTACCGTGCATCCACTGAGCTACCGAGACCAGCGACCACCCCGCCGCGGTCAAACGGGATCAAATGTCACAAAACTGTCATTGGCGGTCAGCGGGTGAATGTCATTTTGTTTTGTGCTGCTGGGGACCATTCTCGGTAGCTCAGTGGATGAACGTTCGTATCGTAAGCTGACCGGTGGGGAAGCCCGGTTCGAACCCTCCTGAGCGTCTCCTGACCCTCTTTTTGGCTCCTAGTTGGAACGGTTTGCTATTGGCGGCTGCGACCACATATTTGAGCAACAGTAATAATCGCTTTAAATTGGGGTGTTGGCTGCCGCACTATACCCATAACCCCTAGTTTCCACGTCTCTAGACCATTGCCGTGCGAAACAATAGACACCAATCTGCTCAATTAAGGCCTTAATACTAATATGTCATACAAAATATAGCTCCGCAGTGCGTCGTAATACGCATAGTCGCATAGCAAGTAAATGATAGGCGCTGTCTTGGGCATAGGACATTTTAACAAATGCTTTAGCGCAATTGATAGGTAGAATAATTGGCAAATGGAGACGCGAAAGTTAAAGGTAGTGTGCCAGCTTTCCTGGACCGTATGGAGTTAATGGCCCAGATAAGGAGAACCGGATTTTTAGAACTTATCCATACCTTCAAAACTCATGGAAACGTCTTAAATTCTTCAAATTTTGAGTACCCCAGTGCGAAATTCGCCCCGACGGGTTGTCGGTCGTACCCCAACCACATTTCACACCACTATGAACAATAAATGCACACACTGAAATCGCTATTACCGATAGGCTCATCCAATCAAGTTTCGATAAACCCGTTCATCATCATCTCCTGCGGTTTCGAACACGCCTGATAGGTGGTGCGGTAGACCGCGCCCAAAGCCAGGGCCCCGGTAACGTGAGGTAGCCGAGTCGGGGCAGCGTGCGCTGACCCAAGCCGGGGCCGCGCGTCCTCCCGGTGTCATGTGATAGCCCGGGGCTGCCCGCGGGGATGCGGTAGACCGCGCCCAAAGCCGCGGCCCCGGCTTTAGTCAGCGCACGCTGCCCCGACTCGGCTACCTCACGTTACCGGGGCCCTGGCTTTGGGCACGGCTTCTGCTCATACTTTGTGGTGCGGTGGTGGTGCGTCGGGCCGCGCGCTCTGACTTCGGCCAAGAAAAATGCGTCAGCTGATCATTCATTTCTGCCACTTTCATGTGGTGAGATGGGGATCATAACTTTAGAGACGGCTGTTTCATATCAGTTATTTTACATAAAATAATATTTCAAACCATAAATTAATGTTCGACAGCCAAATTAAAGAAACAATACCAATACAGGCTTACAGTTTAAATTCGACATTGTGTTGTCTACGATTAGACAGCTGATAGGTAACTCATTCCCGTACGTCGTAACTCTATAATGACCTTTGCTTATTGTCACATATGCGCCGCATTCGCGATTGTTGCCGACGCCTGTTTGCAGGTCAGCCCACTACAGTTGTTATGTGTATTGAAAAACCGATAAACTTTTAGGCGAAAAAAGCACTATTTCAGGCCCATTTTTGATTTTTTTTTGCGATATTAGGTAAAAACAGAAGCTTCTTATCCTAGGAAAAATAAAATGGGAAATCATTGGAAGGTGGCACACTACCTTTAACTACGCTCGCCAAGCCGCGCGATGGTCCATGCTTCCACCCCGCCTCACTCCCCAGCCCTCGCCAGCCGCCGCGCCGCGCCGACCCGAGCCATGCCTCCGGGCTCGGCCCTCACCGCTGCGCTGACGTCACAGGCGGCCCACATCACCTTCCAGACACCGACCCAGACCGGTGTCATACGGTGTGGGTAGGCTGTGCCGCTTGACAAGTAAGTGAAGCGGCACAGTCTACCGGTACCAGGCGGCTGCTGCCAATGCTGAGCCATAGGAACCCGGTGGATAAAGAGTTGTGGAACATCAATCTGCCCACGAGTGTACAAGTAACGAGCGCAACGATAGGCCAAGGGCATATGAAGGCCATAGGCCTGTCCACTCTAATTGACGCATAAAGGTTAAGCGCCTATCAAAGCTAACCGATACATAAAGCTCACACGTCCATCATATTTAAATTTGCTTGGTCAATATGATACTCACGTTTTTGCCGACGACATCCAGTTTATATTTGGAGTACTGTTTGACGATGCACATGGCGCGCCTGGTGAAGTCTGTCAGCAGCTTCTCTGACCACCAGTTGGTCACGTTTCCTCCCCAGTTGTGGCGACGACCTGGAAAGCAGTCACAGCGCCAGGATTCATAACTGAGCTATGTCTAACATCGAAGAAACCGACGTATGTCTTCAGTTAGCGTCAATCCGCCACATTAATTAGACATTGAGCCGCTGATCTGACGATTTAAAGCGTTTAATGCAACAAAACACGCTACGCAGTAGCAAAAAAAAATGTTCATATGTATTGCGGCAAATACATATGAACTTACCGTGGTTGTCGAACCCATGCGTTAGCTCGTGCCCGATGACCACACCCACGTTAGCAAAGTTGGCCAGGCTGAAAAGTAGCGCATACATCAGTAACATTTATCAATAAATCATCGTTTCGCAATAAACGTTTAGCGGGCGAGAGGTGCAGCTGGTACTCCAATTCAGATAGTTGTATTTGCTTTCATCTCTGCTCAGTAACAAAGTTGATAAATGTTTAGTGCAATTGAAGAATGTCGTTGAAACAGAAACACTTACGCTGGATAATCCAAGCCAAAGAACGGCTCTTGCAGAAAGCCGAGTGGAAACACTGAAACACGGAAAATTAAAACAGATTTCAGTCATCACATTTGAATGATTTTACCATTCCAGCAACGTCTCAATATGATATAGCATTTAGTGAGCCGTGCATGATAATTTGTTTGCCATGAAAAATGCATGGCTTCTGTGTAGTTGCCCATGCATACGTATGATCAAAAGACTTTGACATTTGACGACGCTCTATGTTGCAATGCGATTATCGAGACACTCGTCGCAATACAGCCGGATGCCATTGCATTAGCAACTATGCATTAGCAGCATGAATTACTCACATATTTCGTTGTGCATGGGCGAATAAAATGCATTTACTTGCAATGGGCTAACAACCCAATCTCTGTGAAAAGGGAAAACAGTAAGGGTTACAAAAAAAAAAAACGAGTAAAAAGAAGTCGAGTAAAAAGTAAAATATTGCAAAATGAAGGCCTGGCTGAATAACTGGGACATTCCACTGCGTTTGGTGTTGTAGACATTACTTTTACTTGTTAAACGTGCTACTCAATCCTCCGTAAGTATCTCAAATGTATCAAGTATCAATATCGCAGTCCGCGGAACAGATAGCTATCCGGACCTGTCCTTGTCCACCGGCCGCAGCAGCTTCTGCAGGTCTTGAAGCACCTCGTGGTTCCGCAGTCGCAGCACGTTATTCAGTAGGTGCTGGTCGTCGAAATGCAGCTGAGGACGTGGGCAAAGATTGAACATGAATTATCAACATTTTATCAATATCTACTTTAACTTCCACGACACAGCTTGATGTCCATTACGAAAAATACGTCTCAATTGCCACCAAATATAATATGAAACATGCATCGAGCTGTACGGTTAAATTCATAAGCCATAGAGCGATGATGAACAATATTGTACCATTTGCTTACTTTCCATATTTATATGAATGTTTTTTTTTTTAAGTTCACCACAAAATGACTAATAGGTGTTACTTCTTGTCAAACTACATTCAAGCACATGCTATAACATCTGACTTAATTCATTGATTTCTTTTTAACATGATAAGAAATACGCGGGTACTTACATCGGCCAGCTCCTCATTGAGAGCAGTAATGTTCAGCACGGAGTTGGGGTACGCAATCTTCTGACCCATCATGTCTAGCTGAAAAACAATACTGATCAGATACCTAGACAACAATGATTAATGGTTTGGAATCCCTGGAAATGTAGGTATACCCGTATTTCGCAAGTATACCTCAGGCTCAATCAGAAACAACTCTTTGCATGTGACTAGGAGCTCATTTATGTGGGGCTGTAACATTTCATCGTGTATTTAAGTGATTAGACGACAGGTAACTTATCCTTTTCTCACATTACCTTTTTGACTAGCGCTGCTTTCATGTCTGCTTCAATCCAGTCTTCGCTAAGAAGGCTCTCCCGGAAAGCTTGTTTGACATGATGGATCATCTCTTCCACCTGTATAAAATGCAATGTAATTTATAACAACTGCATTCTTGCAAATAATTACAACAATTATCTCTGAAGTGTTCGCACAGTTGTAACTATGTAAACGAGCTTCGACTAAATTCAAATGACATATGTAGATACTCAGCAAGCAGTATGCTCCGCACGACGAAAGTCATATCGAACTTAGTACTTACCTTGGCTTTAATTCCGTGTTTATCGTAATGCTGGATGTACATGTAGGAGAGGACGTTTCCCAGACCTTTCTCCACCAATTCCGCGCATCCCTTCCATCTGCAGGTGACAAACACAAAGTCACCTGAAAATGAGTAATTCTATCGAAAAGGAAAAGTGCGGTATCAGCCAACATCATCCAGGAAAAAATATATATTCCGCATATTTTTTAATCAAAACGATGCTCCGTTATTCTCTCGAACTGAGTCGCCGACGGATATTCTCTCACATACCTTACCGAATAGACCCGCTCTTCGTATAGATTAGGGACCTGTTTTCGGAAATCCTGCCAAATCTCGTGCAGCTGCTGGCCCATGAAGCGAATGTTCTTGAACATAAAGCGCCAAACCAGGTAATTGGCTACCACTCTGTAACAACGTAGGTCGGTCAGCAACAAAATAATGACGGGAATGATTTTCAGAACGCCAGTAAGGACAATGCCCGCGTCATCTAGCTATCGATATCACTTGCGAATTCAAATACAGAAAGGAAACTTAAATGATATTTGTTCCAAGAGAGGTATCGCTTTAAAGGCAAAGGCGATCATCAGAGCTAACGCCGTTTAAAAGCCCACCGTTTTGGACTGCTGTTGACGAACTTCGAGACCGCCTGGACGAACGGCTTGCAGTCTACGGCGACGATCTGCATGTCGTGACTGATGTTGTTCACCGCTAGAAAGTTTTGCAGCATCGCCGACCAGTCAAACTGTCAGAACAACATGCGAACGGTGAAGATTGGCACTCCGGTGGATAAGAGCTAGTTCAGAGAATCCCCGCATGACGGCGCCACCATACAGGTACTCATTCTTTCTAGAGCGCTATGATGTTGCGATTAGCATTCACGATTTGTAGTCAACTGTTAACGTTGCCAGCATCATTTTGGATTTTAACGTTAACGTTGACATAAACGTGTTTAATGGAAATAATTTGTTGGTTGCATTCTGCTGCTTGCTTCAATTGGGCCTGTGAAATAAACTGAAAAAGTGTTTCATCCCTGCAGGCTGCAATATGCGATAGACCACAGCGAAGGGCTATTTCATCCTGTTCTGCCGTGTCTAGGATTGTTTCTCCACCCTGTCACGGGGTCATTGGGCAATAGGGGTACCCATTTTTCCCGATTTTGGAAATTTGTGGGTGGGGGTGGTTTTTCCCATTATTTTGCGGCTTGTGATTCCAATGATGCCAAAAATATTAAAATCAAAGGTGGTTTAGGGGTCGCGAATTGAGATTGAAATTTGCGTATTTACCTAGAAATATGCCTATTTGACGCTGATAATAAATCGCACTAAAGGCAAAATTTTTGTTTTGAAAGTCGGGTAGAGGGGTCATTGAGCGCTCATTTCCTCATCCAGATCGATGTGCTCCATCACGTGGCTCCGGTTAATATTTGGTGAAAAGCGCCGGGAATCCCGGCGACCAACAGCAGGAGCAAAACATCCCGGCCCGGGATGTTTTGCCCTGTTCTTGGTATCATTCTGGTCAGCGTGTAATCATTTTTGAAATCTTCTGCCTCTTGAAGGTCATGAGTTGTAATGGTGACCTTTGATGACCTGTGAGGTCAAATTAAAATGTGACCTTTCAGTTGCCACGTCTCTGTTCATGACAGGCTCTTTGTGTCCATACAATTAAAGTTTGTGCAAATGAGCTCAGGATACATCTCACAGATCATGGCTTCGAATGGATTTCAAATCATGTAATTAAAAAACGATCGAACTATTTTGACCGTATGCTTCCACAAGAAACTCCGTCCTGATCGCTCACGGCTACGATGTAATACACCTATGAGACAGGGTAGGATAAATCTGGGTGTTCTACCCAAAAATATCAACTTCTAATCCGAAAACAAACTCGAAAGCGTCGATTCATTCCATGCCCACCAATCATGTACTATTCCATTTCCTCAGTGGGGACAGATACACACCGTTCTTGGGTAAGAGTTTCCGATACAACTGCAGATCATTTTTTTTTTTTCTAAGCCGCCACCCATGATCAGGTGACCAGGAGTGCCCCCTCCCTCTATCCCAGCGACACACAGAACCTTACGTTAACACCAGAATAACTTAAAATTTCAAGTCGCGGCACTCCCAGCTAGGAAATGAAAGAAACATAAAAAAGCAGTAAAGAGAGAGTCCATGGTTAATATGAATGAATAAGAAGCAAAGTAGTCGACACTGTAAACAGTGGTGACTGCCCTCTACTGAAAGCCCATCCTCATTCACTCGCTCACATTCGTAACATTCATACACAGCATCCAATACGAGAAAAAGGCATAATCGCTGGGGAAGGTTGGTTAGGGGGTTCTCTCATCAAGGCAAGATCATCATCATAATACTCTGGTCTAGGCATGCATGAGGGTCCGTTAGCCCAGACACTCGGAGCACCCCACGAAGCAAGGCTTGTTGTCGGGCGCTCCAAGTGCCCAGGCAGGCAGGGTGACATTAGCAAAACACTAAAAATGAGTAAAATACACATACTGCATATTACACATATACCGGACGGATACATACACCTATGTATGCCTACACAAGCATACATACACATTACACATACAACTGTCACATACAGGCATATCAGCGTTTGGTAGGTACCTATGGTTGAAGTACCTATCTTTGAATTATAAGATGTATCAAGCTAAATTAATCAGTATTGATTGATATAATGATTTTTAACTAGCTTTTTTATTGTGCTTTTGGCAAATGGCACAGACTGAACGTGAGGAAAGATCGAGGTCATGACATTGTTCCACACTCTAGGACCTGTCCATGACAAAGTATGAGTTTTATATTTTTTGAAAGTGAATATTTCTTCGAAGTGTTTTACATTACGAATGTTTCTGAGTGAAGGATGAAATCTAAACAATTGGTCGAATCCATGTGGTAGATTGTTGCATATTTTTCTATGCAGGATAAGTATCATTTGCTGATGTGCCACATCCTTAATTTTAAGGAGTTTTAGTTTTTTGAAAATTGGATCCGTATGAGCCATCATTGGCTGCCCATCTATAATTCTGACAACTCTCTTTTGAATTTTTTCAATTTTGGATAGAGTTGAAGTATAAGTATTGCTATATATATAGCAGCAATAATTGACATATGACAAAAATAGAGAATTGTAGAGTAATAATAAGTGTTCAGTGTTTAAAAAGTACCTCACTTTGGTAATGATACCAACATTTCTACACAATGTAGTGTATAGCTTATTTATATGAGTATTCCACTTAAAATCGCCATCAATAAACATTCCAAGGTATTTTACACTTTTAGAGCTTTTTATCTCTACTCCATTTAGTTTCAACCTTATTTCTTGTCTATCTCTTTTGTTTGAATATATCTGATAAGAAGTTTTATCAGTATTTATCGAGAGTTGGTTAGCAGAAAACCATTCTGATATTTTGGGCATAATTGTGTCCACAGTATCTTGTAGTTTTGCTATATCTTTACATTCCATAAAGGCTGCGGTATCATCTGCATACAAATATGCATTGAACTCCTTGCTTATGTTTGGAAAATCATTTATATAAAGGATAAACAGAAGAGGCCCCAGAATAGATCCCTGAGGGACTCCCATATCAATTGGCAATGTGTTTGATCTGACACCGTTAATCTGTACACATTGGGATCGATCACTCAAGTATGATACTATCATATCATATGCTTTACTTTTGATTCCATAACATTTGATTTTGTTTAATAAAACATTAATATTAACTGTGTCAAATGCTTTCCGAATATCCAAATAGAGTCCGCACACAATATTATTTGCTTCAAATGCATTTGTAATCCTTTCCTGGATGAGTGATATGGGCATGTGTGTGCCCATACCTTTCCTAAATCCAAATTGATTTATATTAAGTATGCTGTTTGTTGTTAAGTGATCATCCAGTCGTTTGTGTATAAGCTTTTCCAATAATTTGGAAATAACATTTACGAGTTCATATTCGACCACAGGCGACTAGCCATGCGCTGATACGTGCATGGTTGATATGTGACAAAGACCTTTCACAGCTTCTTGCACAGATCACTTGTGATCTCAGGTGGTACCTAGTTGGCGTCTGAGTTTGAAGAAACTAATGTAGCAGGAGATTTTCATCCTGCATGGGCCGTATGGTGGTAGGGGAGAGCGGGGAGAGTTGTATCATGCCCAAGTTGTATCAGGGCGAATTGTGCCAAAGTTATCCAATAGATGGCGCTCGTGACACGACCAGCCGACGAGGTTTTCCGGGCGCAATCTTTCCCTGTTCTGTCGTGTGGCTGGGTGGACGCGTCTCGAGGTGAGAGCCGATTTTATGTTTTTTAATGTCATTCTAAAAAAATAAGTTGCAAGAAAATGTGTGTTTTGAGCATTTAGATGTGCACGAATTTGAAAGATCTCCGTAGCGGTGGTGAGGGTAGGTTCTAAGGCTGTGTGAGTGAAAATGGATTTCTCCAGCTGTCCGCTGTTTTTGAGCACGAGGATGTTTTTTCCAAGATGGCGGCGAGGTACATGTTGTATCAGAGCCGGGTGGGGTATGTTGTAACATGTATGTATGTATGTACTATGTATGTATGGGTATGTTGCTTTTGATCGCGAAAGCTAAGCCCTGGCTCGCGTTTGTAGATAGCTAGTCAATACTCGTTCCATTTCGGCACAATGTGTTGGCTTCTTTGCTCTTAACGGGCCACTTTTGCGTCTAGTCTGTTGATGTTTCGTTCGTTTGACGTTTCGATGTTTCGTTCGGATTGCATTGACCTAAGTTTGGCCTAATAAAAGTAAAGCCTTTGAGCATATACATTGTATTAACCCCATTTAATGTTGTTGTCATGTTCAAAGCCAGTAGAAAGCACACACCCTGAAACGTGAAATAGTGATACAAATTACCCCACCATGTGATACAACTCACCCAAGCCATGGGGCAAGTTGTATCAAAAACATTGTTCTATTCGGCAGACCGTAGAAGAAAAACTGGTAGAGGTAACGGAAAAGATACTTGGCACAAAAAAAGCAGAAGAATCAAGGAAGGAGATAGTATGGAAATAATGAGTTTATCACGGATAGTTACGAGGTTATGGGTCTCGGAGTAAAAACTGATACAACCCACCCCACTCTCCCCTACCAGGACGCATCATATGAGGGAGTGTGCGTGCAGAGACTGAAGACGAGGAGAACCAGGTCCGCCACCTAAGGTCAATGGCCCACCCACTGTGTCGGCCCCCAGGCAATGCCAGGAGTCAGTAAACGGTTCTACCTCGGAGTTGGCTGAGCCGTCTAGACTTTGGCACCTTCCTAATTTCCAGCTTTAGGCAATGACATCTTCATCTTCATCTTCATCTTCGTTTTGCTTCTGTATATCTATGCCGAGATAAAAACAGCACTAAGCTATGCCGGTATGCATGAATGATGACCTTTGCCAATTTGCTAGCCGACCTCCCCGAGTCCCGGAGTTGCAGAGACGGTTGACGGATGAGGGAGACGGATGGCATTCGTCGACTTCAGTTCAACATCAGCTGAGGGCTTGGACTGAGCCTGTAGAGTGCAGTGTGCAGTGTAAGGTCCGTTATCTTGAAAGGATACTGCTGGCAGCGGCCGTCACCAGGCACTGGTTCCATGACATGCTATCTGCACCCGTCTCAAGTCATCAGCTGGTATAGGAGTGGCACGTGCCCAGAATTGGAGTCACGAGCAGTCGTGCACGCGTTCGGCCAGGCCAGTGCTGTCCGTCATAAGCAAAAATGCAAACATATTTCTTTCATAATGGGGTGAGGATGGAGTTTCGGTGTTACTGTCCTGTGATGTTCTTGGCCAGCTTCCTTTCCATATGCTCAAACGCACATGCTGTGTGCGGGTTTGGGTGTTTGTGGGGGAGGGGCAAAGCTAAACTCATACAGCAGCCACCCGACGGTGGTGTAAGGCTTGCGCCCCTCCCTCATCCGTCTCTGCAACTCCGGGACTCGGGGAGGTCGGCTAGCAAATTGGCAAAGGTCATCATTCATGCATACCGGCATAGCTTAGTGCTGTTTTTATCTCGGTATAGATATACAGAAGCAATTGATAACTTCTTTATCTACTTCATGCCATATTTCCGTTAAAATACGGCATGCGAGTTATATGGTTATACAGTAACGGTTTTTAATGCCCCTTCCACCCAAATTGTATCGATAGGCCAATGTTCATGTCCTGGGGATTGGTCATTTCCTTTGCTGAATGAGACGACTCATTGAAAATTAGGTGGTTCCAATGAGAAAGCCTCGATCGCTGATTTTAGCCCCCTGACTACATAGCCATTCGTTCTAAGAGTTGCGGTCTTGTGTAGGTGGTAATGACGGTCTAAGCCAGAGTGAGTGTAAATGAGCATATGCTGTTCATTGACCAAAATGATATTTTTGGTGCTCTCTTTTACCGCTGCACGTCGAATATACCTACAGGCTACAACTAAAGCAATGTTGCACGGTGTCTAACAGCCATTAATACCAATGGAACACGTTGGCTTTGCATATTTATAGTCGTTGAAATGAAGTCATTTTTCCACTAAAATTAAAACTCCAATGCAAGCTTGCGACCCATAAAAGTGATCTAATATCGTTACTTCTGTCACTGCTATAGATCCAGAACAGAGCAAATAATGATAAAATCGACCCCGACCTGTTGGCATGGTAACCTTGTCCCACCATAAAATAATGGTAATTTGGTCGATTTTCTGCTAAAATTGACATGTTCATTTTGAATTCGTGACCCCCAAAAATCGTTTGCCTTCGTTATTTTTGGCACAGATGGAATCAGAATAGACCAAATAATGGGAAAATTGACCCCAACTTGCTGGCATGGTAACCTTGTTCCAAACTTAAATAGTATTAATTTGGCCGATTTTTCGCTAAAATTGGCATTTTCAATTTGAATTCGCGACCCCTAGAAATGGTTTGATTTCGGTATATTTGGCACAGATGGAATCAGAATAGACCAAATAATGGGAAAATCCACCCCCACCTAAAATTTGAAAAATTGACCCAAAAATGGGTACCCCTATTGGGCAATTGACTCACGTAGGGTGTGAGCTCGGTGAGCTCCTGCAGAGTCAGTCGACTCTGCTCCGCCAGCTGGACGTCTGAGTCAGTGGTGTTCAGCAGCACCGAGGAGTCTTCACACGAGGTCTGACTCAGCAGCTGTGCGGCACATAAGTCGGTCATCAAATCAAAGTATGGTTGAAACAAGACGGAAATGAGGAAGCAGTCAGGTGGTCATATCATTGGAACGGTACTCATATCATTGATCCTAGCCATGTGCTCACAGTCCAAGTTGTGTAAAAATCCACCCAAACGTTATCATGGTCACCCACGCAACCGAACAGAGCCCCATGTCTCCTTTCCACATAAACCCACCTTGGCGAACTCGATCTCGAAGTCGATCATCTCCTTGGCCTGCTGGTCGGTGTCGGACGAGGGGTCGGCCAGTACCGCCAGAGTGTCCTTCAGCAGCTGGCGGTAGGCGGCCAGGTTCCGACGCGCGTGGGCGTCCGTCTTGTTCAGCAGGTAGTCCTCTTCAATCAGCGGCGAACCCTTGAACAGCTGCAGAAAGAGCGAGCTTCGTGACTCTAGTGTCGGGCGGCCGTCCACTGATTGCCACTTCAAGTCCGTGCATTTAATTTGACCGATGATATTCAACTCTCGGCGCGCCCCGCTCCTCGCGGCTCCCAGCCACGCGACCCCACCCGGCCGCCGCGCCGCCCAGCACCGTCCGGCCGCCCCGGGCGCCCGGTCATCGCCCCTGCAGGCAGACTGTCCCGCAGGGCGCCCGGTCGCTGCCCCTGCAGGCAGACTGTACCGCCGGCCGCGTACCGCCCGGCATCTGCACAGCGCCGGTCCAGACCCTACAGAGACTATCTCATTATCGACGACAAGAGCTAACCTTAGGAGTTTGTACTTAGTTCAATTTGGAGAGGCTAATTTAAAAAAAAAACGAAATGAGGTAATGAAAAAGACCTTGTGCTGTGTTACAGTGTCTTAAATCTGCCTGTCTGTGTGTTTGATCTTGTTTCATAAAGTTGTGTGAAGCTAACTGACACCGTTAAAAGTCCGGTAGGAATTATTACGATCTGACACATCTCATTAGAAATGTGCAAAGTACATGCATGCCCGTTGGCTACTAAATGAACTGCCTCAAAGTCTCGTCGAGTAAAGCTCTTCAAAGTAAATCTTCTCAGAGATTTGCTTTATTTGAAAACATTTCAAATGTGAATATGTGACGCAGCATGCAATGTCCTGTATTATGTCACGTCTATTTTTCAACAGATGCTGCGCAATACATTTCTCAGAAAGGACAAATTGTGTTGCATTTTATGATGCTTGCAAATCTCGAGTACCACGCTTCAAATCTAATTACGACATCTGCTCATTTCCAGGAGTTCTCCCAAGCTCCTGTCATTTGATTTGACAATCATGCGAATATTCACGATACAGCCTGATTTGATTCATTTGCAAACTACTGCCCTTCTTTCACTAATGATGCTAATTCTACTAGAATTTTCAAATAGGCTCAGTATCCTACCTTCCACGGTATGCATGCTTCATGAGATCCTTTCCCATCTTTCTCTCCTGAGGTCTCTGCTCCCTTACCAATCATCGTTCCCCACCTGCATGATGTAGGTGGACGTGTCGCGCGAGTCCGAGTTGACGTGCACCTCGAGGAGACTGTAGACCTTGACACTGTGCAGCCGGGTGATGAGGTCGGTCAGGTTGAACCGCTCCGCCTCCCAGTCGGGGTCGATCAGCGGCCAGCCACCCAGCCGGGCCAGCTCCACCCCGACCACGGCCCGGGTCAGTTCCAGATCCGTGGCTGGGTCCTTGCCTGATGCACGAAAAGGCAGGAAGGTCAAATTCAGAAGCTATGCCAGATTTTGGGTTTCCTATTGCACGTTGACTTTTAATGTGGAAAGCGCACTCCCGAGTTCGAAGCAAAATGCTCACAAATAAAGTATGACCGAGAACCTTCATGAATAGGTATGTCATGTGTTCCCACCCCCCCCACACACACACACACACACAAAATATGCTGCAGATGAGCAAGTGAATAATTCCATTAAAAACATAAACATCCGTGCCCTGCAAAGATACGCATACGGGCGTAGTGGACGCTTAACTCACTGATGTTGACGCAAGAGTAGTAAAGCTTCTCCACCTTCTTGATAGCTGGTATGTCTTCTGATACTTCATGGTCTTCAATGAGCTCTGGAAAATAATAATATAATGACGGTGATATAGCACGCAAGTAGTTACATACAGAAATATGCAATGAGCAAACTGTCAATGCAATTTAAACAGCACTTTATTTGCCGATTACAATGTGCTTATTGCAATTAGCATGACTCACGGTAGTTAAAAAAGTAGTTTAAGGATGCGTCTTTCCAATTAGCACAGTCGCAGAAAGCTGCTCTGACCTCAGACTACCCTTGCTACATGTTATCCGATATATCACTTTTTAATCTTCAGTGCTCACTTTTGATGTCGACCAGCATCTGCTCCTGCATCTGCTGTAGGCTGGAGCTGGAGAAGGCGTCGCTGGGTACGGCGTGGGTGCGCACGTACCGGCCGCACGCGTACTGGTAAAAGTCCGTGCACGGCTCGGCAGTCAGGTCCATCCGGTCCAGCACGCGCGAGGCCACGCGCAGACACGTAGGAGTCAGACATCGCTCCGGCTCCGGGCTGGGGTCGGAGTTGGAGTTGGGCTTGGAGTTGACGGCAGAAGATTTTGAGACTGATCCTGCGCTTAGCGCCCGCTCTAGCATCGACCGTTCGCGGGAAAGAACTGAGGGCGAAAAGTAAACGATATCAAAGTGACATTCCAGTGACGCTGAAGACGATTCGTTATATCCAAAGTGAAGCATGAAGGCAGTGAGAGGATGCTAAGCTGTATTGGAATGGCTGGACCCGCCATGCCAGGTTTGTGCAACAGATAGCACTACAATAGCATAGCCAGCGGGCCGCAGTCGGGCTGCTTCGCACGGGCTAGTGTTAATTCTCTCCGCTGCTCATAGATGGCACCAGTATCAAGCGCCTGCTGGTAGGCTGTACCGCAAGGCCTGAAGCCGTTATTCCCAGCGTGGGAGGCCGAGCGGGTGACATTCAGCGGCAAAGTAACGTGATTAACATTTAGTAGATAACTTGTAAGAACAAATATGGGCCTTCACCCTCGTTATTAATAACTTACCTTTTTAATTTTTGAACCGACGATCGCAGTAATACTCGTAGGTCTCGCTTTATCAGCACGCAACTGCGTTAGCCACAACAAAGAGAGAAGACGTGCCATGGCCAAGCGTGATTATTGTGCAACCCTGGATTGGCTGTTTTTTGTTTAACAGCAAAAACAAAATCAAACAGTCGCGAAGCAAATAAGTGTGCACACTGTTGTGTGACTTTTCTCTGTCAGAACGAATGCCTAAATCAGAAGCCGGTGAATTTCTTACCGAGTGCTAGGTTTAGTAGGAGGGCGGTGCATCCCAGCAGCAGCAGTACTACCACCAGCAGAAGGATCTTCTCGAGTACGCTGAGTCGGTACCAGCACCGGCCACCGCGCCTGTAACATAAGAGCAGGTCGGCAACAGCTCCTGTCTGTGGTTGCGCCTGTAACATTGCAGAAAGAACAGCAACAGCCTGCTTAGTATATTCGCTGCACCCTCACACCGCTGAACGCTTCCATTCAGCCAATAATGATTGGCGCTTTATGAGATATTATGAGTGATACTCTCAGAATCCTGAATGCACCTTCATAGAAGTTGAGTGAAATATCGGGCGATGGTCGACATAGGGTCAGCGCGCAGTGTTTTCTCAACTTTTTTTTATCTATTAAAATGGGTTGCATGACCATTGACCAATGCCGTAGGTCTCAAAAGCATATGCTTATCTAAACATCATCTGTCTTATTTCCTGCCAAGGATGATTCAATCGTCTTGTTCATCCACATTTTCACTAACACTTTTTTACATGACCTTTCGTACTCTCGCCCACGAGATGGATCAAATCCAGAATGTCATGCCAATCAATATAACATGATCATACACCCGTCTGTGGCGGTGACCCGATCGGCTTACGGCTCAGTGGTCGTGTAGGTCACCGGTCGCTGACATATAGACGTTGATTTTGATCAGCAGCCGAACTATCACGAGACTCGTGCCAGGAGAATAAGAAGGCTTGTATCGAGAAGCCTATGTCAGGAGAATTAATCATCGGGTTTGATTATCTTGTAGCATTCTCGGTGTGGAATTCAGGCTTAGCAGGTGTCTGATGTGACTTCTGGATTTGCCTGTGACTGTGATTTCTTACCTTCCACTTAGTTTGCCTTTAATGACTTGCAAATTAGCCGTTCATTTTCTTTTGCCGTCCTGATTTCTAACTAACCGCACTATCTAGTGTGAGCGGTTGCATACGTAAGCCTGCCCCCCTCCCCCCCGCGCCCTGACCACGTGACCGTCTGTCCCAGCTGCGGCCGCGCGGCACTGATGGCAATAAGGCCGCTCCAGTGGCCCTGACCATGTGGTGTGTCGATACCGCGAACGGGCGCCGCCCGGCACCACTCTCAGCGGTGCCGGTGATTGGTCCGTGCGAGCTGCTGATGGGAAGCATTGCGTCTCGGCAGAGCAGTTCGTTAGAAACCAATCGGATCAGACCAGCGGGTCATGCACGCCGCGATAGGAGGTATTGATTGGATTCCGAAAGCCGATAATGTGACATTTACGGAATGATTGACTTTAATTCCAATGTTTTCTGAAAAGTTTGTGCGTCTCTGGTCACGGCAAACATGCGTGGCAATGCTATTCCTAAAACTGTCTGCGTCACCAAAAAGTTCAATGACGGCATCAGCAGTCGTAAATGCAATGAAGTCTGAAAAGGCTGTCAAAATCCAATAACCGCCTTCTGAGTGTGGCCATTGCCCCAAGCCGCGGGCCGTTTCAGTCAGCGACAAATAGTAAAAGCCTTGGATGGCCAGCCCGACGAGCTGACCGTTCCAGGCGACGGAAACGTCAAAAGGAAAACGACCGCCGCAAATGGTCCCGCTTTCGCTCGATTGCATTTAATTCCACATATAAATGGGTGGATGTAAAAGTACTGATCGAGCAGCCCTTGGATTTTTGCGCAGTTTCGCGCGTCACAAGAGGAGCAATGGTAAAGAAGCAAACATATGGTTGTCGAGAGCGTTAGTTAGATATCCGGATTGTAGGGGAGAGTCCCCAATCTGCACCAGGTCTCCTTATTGCGCCCACGTCATTTTCTGTGGACCAATAGGTCGATTGATGCAATTTATTAATCACAATCATCAAATCAATAATTTTCGACCTACCGCCACCAGCGTAAGGTCGTAAGCCGCGTACTAGGAGTGGTTTTGTAAAATGTGGTGTTTTCTTATCCTGAACTTGCTGGTTTACTGCACTGTTACTGTTGTTCGTGAGGAAGGGTGGTTCAAAGTGATTTTAGTAGTACTATGGCATATGTGTCAAGCATGGAGAGACAAAAAACAAGACGGTACATGCCTCATGTGCAACATCATCAATATTTTCCTGTCAAAAGATACATTCCAAATCGCGCCCACACATATTGCGCCATGACATGGGCGCATTTAGGGCTATGTCTAGACATCGTCATCGAGGCTTTCACTGGTATCGTGTAAAACTTATAAAAAGTGGTCTTTCAATTATTGGTGTTAGAAGCCGGTGTTGGACCCCAGTAGGTCTGAGGGGCCCGTGCTGACCAATATGGGCATTCGGGTAACATTACTTCCCTTGCCAGTAAAAGGGCTAACTTTGCATGGTTCCTTAATGCATTATTTAACGTGGCGCAATTAGGGCATGCTGTGCCTAAATGCGCCTTTTGCAGGGGCTCGGAAAAACGTAATTTGTATACATTAAATTAACTTCATTTGAAAGAGTGGAGGTAAATTCAACTACCAAAATGTTGAGTGATCGTTATTAAGCATGGAGACCGCATTCACCGGACACATTGCTCAAGCACAGGAAAAGTTTCCGCTTAAGCGGGCGCACAATGGTAACCCTCACCTATGCGCATGCTCTTATATTCTTATTTTTGTGTACTGTGTGTTACTAATTAGGATAAAATAGACAAAATTATTTCATATTTAATTAAAAGCAAGTCATTATAAAGGTTATGAGACATGAATGAGTATTGCATATAAAAATGAAAAATGATTTGCCGTTACACACTTCATTTTTATGCAGGGTTACTTTTATAGGAAAAGTCGAGAGGGGAAATAAAGTTCGGGGCAAGGGCGGATCCAGGGGCATCTGAAAGGGGGGCCCAATGCCATTAGGTTTTTGTTAGGATGGCGCCTGCAGAACCTTACCTACCCCCAAATCCTACTCTCTCCCCGGATTCTGGCCACTTTATGTTGTTAGGTTGCCAAAAAATAAATTAGCTAAAAAATATACGCAGGTACCTACCTTGGCAAGGGGGGGGGGAGGTCCCAACTTGACTGCGCCCTTGCAAATGTCAATCAGTACAGGGTGTCTCAAAAGTTCGTTGACAGGTACCAGCCATGCTTTTTTTGTCAATAATTCTAAATCAACAAGAAATTATCAGTCAAAATTTTGCATGGGCATTGGTAACAACCTTCCTTTAGCAGTTTCATTGTTTTCAAGCGCATTCGACCCTTCATGAGCTCACAAAAAGGGTTCACCTGTGACCATGGATCAGTCATGAAAATTGAGGTCGCAAAATCGGGTCGGCTGAGAAACTCTCTGTTTCAGGAGTAATGGGAATGGTTAGGTTGGAATGGGAATGGTTAGGACCATGGATCAGTCATGAAAATTGAGGTCGCAAAATCGGGTCGGCTGAGAAACTCTCTGTTTCAGGAGTAATGGGAATGGTTAGGTTGGAAATGACACATGGCAAAGTATCGGTGAGGATGAGTATAACATGATGATTATCTAATAAAAAACGGTGGCTAAATTTTTTGAAGGACGAAGCCCTGCGAGACTAACAGCGTTTTGAACGGCCCTTGTACGGCAACAGACTCGTGCTCCGGAAAGCAGCTGAAAATGCAGTCCTAACTATTGAAAACTGACTAGAAGCTCACAGAGGTTACCCAGTTTAAAAAATTGCAGGTCATAATAAACTAAAGACAAAATATCATTTAAAATTGTTTACAATATCGATAACTCTAAATTTTTGGGGAAAATAACACGAAAATCGTCAATGCCGAGGAGAAGTGACCCTCCAAAAGTGTCAATTAATGTAAAGTTTTATCTTACGAAGTTTCCAGAGGCAGATCTGTAGCAAATAGCTGTCTTTTACACACAAAATCCAGACAAAACCACACGATGGACAGGTCTTGGCCGTTTACAAAGCAGAACCTCTCCTGAGGAAAACACTCCGGAACCCAGCGAAGGTCTTGGCATGGGGAATGACGAGCGTTTGGGTTTTGCAAAATTTGCAAAATGTGTCTAAGAAACAGATGGCCGACACATTCTGCTACGATATGCTGCGAAAAATTTGCCCCTGGCACTTCCCATTAGTTCAGGAATGGGGTTGTTTTGAAAAGGAAAATGGTGCTTGGGAGGTCGGCGCCAGTCATTCATGAAGGAGTTAGCGCCACACTGAAAAAAAGTACACCTGGGTTACATTTTTACCACCCGTCATGCAAGATATTTTTATCCGGTTTACACCAGTTTTAGGAGTACTTATACTCTTTTCCTGAAAAAGTGAGTGCAAAATTACACCTGGGTGCATTACTACTCCATTATATGGAATACAGAGGAAAGAGAAGTGTACTTTCACTCTTTCATACATTGTACGCTCTGTTTCATAGGGTGCATAAATACTCCACTAAGAGTTATTTTCAACGAAGCGTAATTTGACACCAATTGTCTAGTATAATTCTACTCCATGATTGGTAAGCAGAGTATTTTTAGAACATATTCAGATGTAAAATTTCTATCTGAGACATAAAAATATACCTGGGTGTGGAAACATACTGTTGTTTGGTAATTATACACTGAAGGTGTTTTTTTGCACCATTTGCTGAGGTAGGCATTTTCGCTCACACCATCTGCTGTGTGTGTTTGGGTGGGGGGGGGAGGGGGTCAGATGCCCCCAGGACATAATTCAGGACTGATTGGTCGCAGCAGGACGACCTACAGGTGCCCTTACTCAGTCCGTGAGGATCCTGATTCGGTCGGCGATGGCCCTGATTCGGTCCGCAGGGAGCCTGATTCGGTCTGCAGGGGCCCAACCTCGACCTGGGGGCCCTGATTCGGCCCGTGGAGACCCAACTTCGACCTGATTCGAAACTTTGGTTTGCTCCGTGGGGCCCTGATTTGACCGGCGAGAGCTCTGATTTGCTCTGCGGAGCCCTGATTCGACCCACGGAGACACTGATTCGGTCCACAGGGGCCCAATTTTGACCTGTGTGACCCTGATTTAGCAGGCTCTGATTCAGTTCGCTACAGGGGCGGTCGCAGGATTTTCTTTGGGGGGCAACTTTTCAAAGGGGCCCAGGGTAGGGTACCCCCAAAACCGGAAACTCCCCGGATTTAGCCCACTATTTTGGCAAGGGGCCCAAATTTA